GGAAAAAAAGAGAAGATTGGGGATTGTTTTAGGGCCTAATAGGTCAAAAAATCGGGTAATGGCCTATTCTCGGCCTGCTTCCATTTTTGCTTCCTTAAGGATTGCAAACTTTTTTTTTTAATGTTAAGAATTTAAATTTTTTTAAAAAAAAAAAAAAATGCGCAAAATTCGGTGCCACTTCCGGAGAGCATTTGGCATTTTAGCCCAATATTCTCTGTCTGTGCTTGTTCATTGCCATTTTTTCGAGGCAATAAAATTTCTTTTTCCGCAAGACATGTAGTTAAGCATTGTATCAATTTTTGGGCTATTCCGAGCTGGAGCCTCTTGCCGAGCCCCCAAAATCGTAGGTATTATTCCCTTTGGTCTTAACGAGCCTTGTGTTGAAGCCCTTTTCCAGAGCCGATACTTCCTGTACCCCTGCAGCGAGCAGCTCCTGTAGGCTCATCCTAGCCGATTGTTTAGGTTCTTTATGGTCAAATTGGTATGCCTATTCGGCTTGCTTATTGCTTCATTAAGGATTGCAAACTCAATATAATTAATGCGCAAAAAAGTGCCACTCCGGAAGCATTAGGCACTTTTTTAGCCCTATATCTCTATGTTCGTCGCGTATCACGCCATTTTGAGGCGCCATAATATTTCCTCTAAGACATGTAAGAAGCATTGTAAATCATTTTTCAGGCCATTCCAAGCTGGTGCTTTCTGGGCCACTAAATCCGTGTGTACATACCTTTGGTACTTAACGAGCCCTGTGTTAAGCCCTGTTCCAGAGCTTGATATTTTCTGTAGCGCCTGATGGCCCTGCTCCTATAGTCTCATCTAGGCTATATTTTTAGGGTCTTATGGTCCAATCGGTATGCCTATCTCGGCTGCTCATTGCTTCATTAAGGATTGCTAACCATTTTTGGGCCATTCCGAGCCGGTGCTTCTGCGCCCAAAAATCCGTAGGTAGAACCCCTGGTCTTAAGGAGCCCCTGTGTGAAGACCCTGTTCCGGAGCCGATATCTTCTGTACGCCTGATGGGCAGCTCCTTATAGGCTCATCTAGCCATTGTTTAGTGTCTTATGGTCAAATCCGGCAATGCCTATTCTTGGCTGCTCATTTGCTTCATTAAGGATTGCAAACTAATATAATTTCAATGCCGGCAAAATCGGTGCAACTCTGTTCCGACAGCGTTTGGCAGTTTTAGCCTCAATATCTCTCTGTCTGTCACATATCACGCCATTTCGAGGGCACAATATTTCCCTCTAAGACATGTAGTAAGCATTAGTAATCATTTTTTGGGCCATTCCGAGCGCGTTGCACATTTTGGGCCCCAAAATCGTCCGGTATAACCCGCTTTGGTCCGTAGGAGCCCTGTGTGAAGCCTGTTCTGGAGCCGATATCTTCTGTACGCCTGACACGCAGCTCGCTATAGGCTCATCTAGGCGATAGTTTAGGGTCTTATGGTTCCAATTGGTATGCCTATCTCGGCTGGCTCATTTTCCTTCATTACAGTATTGCCAACTCAATATAATTTAATGCGCAAAATCGGTGCCACGTCCGAAAGCATTTGGCAGTTTTAGCGCCAATATCTCTCTGTCTGTTCGCTTGTCCATGCCATTTTATTGAGGCCATAAAATTTCTCTAAAGACAGTGTAGGAAAGCATTGTACCATTTTCGGTTTGCCATTCCGAGCCGGGTGCTTTGGCGCCAAAATCGTAGGTAGAACCCCTTAGGTCTTAGGAGCCCTAATGGTAAGCCCTTGTTCGCGGAAGCCCGATATCTTCTGTAACGCCTGATGGGTAGCTCCTATAGGATCATCTAGCCAATTTTTTAGTGTCTTATGGTCAAATCGGTATGCCTATCTCGGCTGCCCATTGCTTCATTAAGGATTGCAAACTCAAATATAATTTAATGCCCAAATCGGTGCCACTCCGGCAGCGTTCGGTCAGTTTTAGCCCAATATCTCTCTGTCTGTCACGTATCACGCCATTTCGTTTAGGGCACAATATTTTCCCTCTAAGAACATGTAGTAAGCATTGTAATCATTTTTGGGCCCTTCCCGACCGTTGCTTTTGGGCCCCAAAACATGCGTCGGTATACCCCTTTGGTCGTAGGAGCCCTGTGTGAAGCCCTGTTCCGGAGCCGATATCTTCTGTACGCCTGACACGCAGCTCCTATAGGCTCATCTAGCTATTGTTTAGGGGTCTTATGGTCAAAGTTGGTATGCCTCTCTCGGCTTGCCTTCATTGCCCTTTTTCATTAAGGATTGCAAAAACATCAATTATAAAATTTAATGTGCAAAAAGTGGCCACTGCCGTGAAGCAAATTTGGCAGTTTTAGCCCAATATCTCTATGTCCGTCGCGTAATCATGCCATTTTGAGGCCATAATATTTTTCTTCTAAGACATGGTAGGAAAAAGCATTGTAATCATTTTTCGGGCCATTCTGAGCCGGTGCTTCCGAAGCCACTAAATCGTAGGTATTACCCTTTTGGTCTTAGGAGCACAGATGTTGATAGCCCTGTTCCGGAGCTGAATAGTCTTCTATAACGCCTGAATGAACCTGCTCCTATAGGCTCATTCTAGGTGATATTTTTAGGGTCTTTTATTGGTCCAATCGGTAATGCCTATGCTCGGTTTGCTCACTTGCTTCAATTAAGGATTGCAAACTCAATATAATTTAATGCCCAAAATGCGGTGCGCACTCCGGCAGCATTTGGCCAGTTTAAGCCAATATCTGCTGTCCGTCGCTTATGTCCGTTTTGAGGTCATAATATTTCCTCCAAGACATGTAGAAGGCATTTGTAATCCAATTTTCGAGCCATTCCCAGCCAGTGCTTCGAACCCCAAACTCATAGGCATACCCCATTGGTCTTAACGAGCCCTATGTTGAAAGCCCAAGTTGTTGGTTTAGCCGATATCTTCTGTACGCCTGAATGGGAGCTCCTAATAGGCTCATCTAGGTGATAGTTTTAGGGTCTTATGGTCCAATCGGTTTGCCTATCTCAGCTGCTCATTGCTTCATTAAGGATTGCAACTCAATATAATTTAATGTGATGAAAATCGGTGTCCACTTCAGAAGCATTTGGCAGTTTTAGCCCAATATCTCTCTGTCTGTCGCTTTGTCACGCGATTTGAGGCCATAAAATTTCCTCTAAGACATGGCAGGAGGCATTGTAATCATTTTCAGGCCATTCAAGCCAAAAGCTTCCGGGTGCCCCAATCATTAGGTATAACCCTTTGATCTTAGGAGCCCTGTGTGAAGCCCTGTTCCGGAGCTGATATCTTCTGTACTGCCTTGTCGGGCAGCTCCCTATAGGCTCATC